TAGTGAGGGGATTGATAGTGAGGGGATTAGTAGTGAGGGGATTGATAGTGAGGGGATTAGTAGTGAGGGGATTGATAGTGAGGGGATTAGTAGTGAGGGGATTGATAGTGAGGGGATTAGTAGTGAGGGGATTGATAGTGAGGGGATTAGTAGTGAGGGGATTGATAGTGAGGGGATTAGTAGTGAGGGGATTGATAGTGAGGGGATTAATAGTGAGGGGATTGTTAGTGAGGGTCGTTTGTTTTCAGAGATAGAATGGGGGGGATTGATAGTGAGGGGATTAATAATGAGGGGATTGTTAGTGAGGGGATTGATAGTGAGGGGATTAGTAGTGAGGGGATTGATAGTGAGGGGATTAGTAGTGAGGGGATTGATAGTGAGGGGATTAGTAGTGAGGGGATTGATAGTGAGGGGATTAGTAGTGAGGGGATTGATAGTGAGGGGATTAGTAGTGAGGGGATTGATAGTGAGGGGATTAGTAGTGAGGGGATTGATAGTGAGGGGATTAGTAGTGAGGGGATTGATAGTGAGGGGATTAGTAGTGAGGGGATTGATAGTGAGGGGATTAATAATGAGGGGATTGTTAGTGAGGGGATTGATAGTGAGGGGATTAATAATGAGGGGATTGTTAGTGAGGGGATTGATAGTGAGGGGATTAATAATGAGGGGATTGTTAGTGAGGGGATTGATAGTGAGGGGATTAGTAGTGAGGGGATTAGTAGTGAGGGGATTGATAGTGAGGGGATTAGTAGTGAGGAATTGTTAAATTATTTTTATATAAAATAATAAAACAAATAAAAAAATATAAAAAATTAAAAATTATATTTTAAAAAAAATTTCCCATATATAAAAAATAAAAAAAATTTCTAATCCGCTCACTATTTTTCTAATACCATCTCTACCTCCTTCTTACCAATCCCCTCTCCAAGGGTATTAGTAATACCAATGGACTAATAGTCCCAAGGCCTTCTCCCAAAACAAACAAGGCTATTACTAATACCTTGGTATTAGCAATCCCAATACCTTCTCTTTCACCCAAAACAAACGGGGCCTTAGGATACTATAAACCCAAATTTGGAGTATCGACAAGATATCTGAAAATACATTTGACTGCGGTGATATGTAAGTCTTTATGTGTGGAAAATGTGCATTCATACATACATTAAACATTATATCGAGTCTACTTGCAGTAAGATAAAGTAAAGAACTGATAATACCTCGATATTTCTTTTTATCTACCAGTTTAACTTGCTCATCTTTGTTGATTTTGATTGATGTGCTCATTGGAGTTGTTGTAGGCTTTGATGATTCCATTTTAAACCTTTAGAGTAAATCCTTGAGGTATTTTGCTTGATTTAAATGTATCTTATCCTTGGCTTGTTTAATTTGTAGTCCAAGAAAGTAATTTAACTCCCCCATCATACTCATTTTGAATTCACCCTGCAAATTCTTAGCAAACTCTTTGCATAAATTTTCATTTGTAGCACCGAAAATATATCATCAACGTAAATTTGAGCAATTATCATATCCTCCTTTTTGGTTTTTATGAAAAGAGTTGTATATATTTTTTCTAGAGAAAAACCTTTACCAAGTAGAAAATTACTCAATCTTTCATACCATGCTCTAGGACCTTGTTTTAATCCATATAAAGCTTTTGAAAGTTTGAAAACATAATCTGGATGCTTATGATTTTCAAAAACAGGATGTTGTTCAACATAAAATTCCTCCAAAATGTACCCATTTAAGAAAGTACTTTCAACATCCATTTGATACGATTTAAAATTTTTAAAGCAAGCAAAAACAAGTAACCTTCTAATAAGTTCGAGTCTAGCAACAAGTGCAAATGTTTCATCAAAATCAATCATTAATAATAACTTGACTCAATCAAATTAATTAAAGTTTAGATTAAATCACAATTTTTCAAACATTTATGTGCAAAAAAAAAAAAAAAAAAAAAAAAAAAAAAACTCAAATCCCAACTCATAACCCAAAGATGACATCAAGAAAATGACAAGAACATGCCAAAATCATATATATAACTCAAATAAACTCCTTTCCTCAAGATTTGGAGAAGAATAGAGAAGAAACTCCTAAAATTGACTATGTTGAAATCCGATATCCATTGCCCAAGATGTAGCCCCTGATGAGCTCTCTAATTTTGATGAAGGAAGTTGGGTGAAGACTCTAGAAATCAAAGATTTAATAGTGTTTGATGAGAGTAAATGAAGAGAGAAGGAAGAGAAATGTGTTTTAGAGAGAGAGAGATGAGAGAAAACTGAGATAGGTACTCAGCCCAAGAAAAGAAAAAGAAAAATTTTCAGACTTCCAGTATTTCCTACATGTGCGGTACCTTTCTCGTACGTGTGGAGCGTACACTTCCACATGTGCGTCACTCATCTCCACATGTGCAATTATTTCAGGGACCAACCTCAGAGAAACCTCACCTCATTGCATGTGTGGCAGCCACAACCGCACTTGCGGCACACTCTTGCATGTGCCCTTCACAACCGCACTTGGACGTCATCGCTTGTGCACTCGATGATTATGATTGCATGTGCTTCTTTTAGTACCCGAAGTCCTCAGCAGAATGCCACGTCTTTGAGCCCTTCAAATGCTATCCGTTCTATACCTTGTTTTGGACCAAAACCCTAGTGCTTCAAACCTCAAGACCCTGGGACCTACAGGCCTCCTTTGGTGGGCTATCGGTCACCTCTTGTGGGCTATTGGCCACCCTTGTGCCTTGCCGGCCAATGGTGTGGCATGCCGGCAATCAGTGTCTTTTTTTACATATTTTGTTGACAGTTGTGCCAGCTGTTGGCACAATTAGTTGCATCTCCCTACACATGTATTGAGGGATGTATCTCAGCCAAATGCATGTTTTTCTATATATAGGGGGTTTCCTCCACCATTTTTGAGGGTTAGAGCTTTTGGAGCAAAAAATCTCTCTCTCTCTCTCTCTCTCGCAAATTTGTGCACATTAGCCTACATACACTACACCTTTGCCTACACATCCTTAATCAAAGTTGATCACCTTTGGACTGAGGTTCCTTGAGGCCTTCTTGGACCTCTTGAAGTTGGTTTTGGCTTGAATTGTTGCCTAGAATTGATCTTTGCTTCAAGAGGTATAACACTTGCCCTTTTATCTTGCTTTGTATACTTGTTTTTCAATCTTTTTCCCATTGTTTTTGGGCTATAAAACCTCTATTTTTGTGCGTTGAAATTGGTGGTTTTAGGCCATTTAAGGTTAGGGGGTGGTTCACCCTTCTTTATTCCTTGCTTGTAAAGCCTTTCAATGTATGTTTCCCACTTTCAAACCATCTTATTTTGGGCTTTTAAATATTAAATTTCAGAGTAATTTCAGTGGTGAAAACCATGTTTTGAAATCCAAATTTTGAGCGGTTAGCCTCCCCTCCTTGTGTCTTGTTTGCTAGCCTAGTTAGCTCTATATGTTAGCTTAATTTTCTAACCTTTTGTAGCTTAATTCCAACATGTTTTAGGCTCTGATTTGGACTGGTTTTTGCATTTGAGTCTTGTTTTGCATGGTAGTAGTGTAAGTGTCCTCATAAGCTTGGTGTTTTAGGCATTTAGACGCCACTTGTTTGAGTTGGTTGCAAGTTTTTAGTGCTTTTCTCACTTAATTTCAACAAGCTTAATCTCTACAACCTCCCTCATTTCTTGGCTCTTTATTTGCTTTGAGTGTTGTTTCAACCTTGGGATTGTTTAAGCTTGAGATTAAGGTCCATGCCTAATGGTTTAATCCTGTTTTGGGGGTTCATTATCAATGGCATGACACCTCTCTCTTGCCTTAAACCACCCTTTGTTTGACACTTTCTTCTCTTTAGAGGACTTCTCACCAATGGACTTAATTGGTTAAAGAATAGTCGGTAAGTTAAAATGAGTAACTAAAATGGAAACTAAAATTTTGCAAGTTCAGAATTTGGTTTTGTTTTGGTGTGTTCGAATTGGACGTTAATTTGAACACAAGGAAAATTGGGGCATTTCATACTCAAAGTGATGAAATGTGCCAATTTTCTAAGGTCACCATTGCTCTTGATCATCCATGATAGGGTGAAGGTTCACTACAAGAATTAACACTTTTGCCGACCAAAAAATTGGTCGCTAAAAGCCTATTTTTGGTCGGCAAAAATTATCCGCGACTAATTTTTTTGGTCGCTACTTTGGTCGCCAATTGAGGGTCGACAAAAGTAATTCGCAATCAAAATTTTGGTTGGTCTGGAAAAGTCGGATTTGCCGACTAAATTTTTGGTCGCGAAATATATCATTACCGCGACTAATTCATTTAGTCGCTGAAACACTTTGGTCGCGAAAAGTGATATTTTCCCGACCAAAAAGTTTGGTCGCCAATTATCACATTCAACGACCAAAAAGTTTGGTCGCCAATTGTGACATTCCGCGACCAAAAAAGTTTGGTCGCCAATCGTGACATTCCGCGACCAAAAAAATTTTGGTCGCCAATCGTGACCTTCCGCGACCAAAAAGTTTGGTCGCCAACTGTGACATTCCGCGACCAAAAGGTTTGGTTACCATTTGTTACTTTTCGCGACCAAAACTTTTGGTCGGAAAAAGTGAGTTTCCACGACCAAGAGCTGTTTTGGTCGGCAATAAATGTATTTTTTGCGACCAAAACTCTTGGTCGGCAATTGTCATTTTTTGCGAAAAAAAATTATTTATTTGTCGCGACTAATAAATTGGTCGCCAAAGCAGGAAAACAATACACCTGCAATTCCTAATAATTCATTCAATCCATAATAAACCTATAATTTTAAAGCATCATTCAAATTAACCAAATCATTAGCATTCGACACAATACAACTATTCTAAGTTTTCATTCACAAGTCACATCTAACATAACAATTTGAAACATAACTATTTCTCGAGATGAACAGCAGCAAGCCAAGCATCTAAAGTAGTCAGAGTGCTTTCTCTCATATGTTTGTTATTGTCACCAAGGCATTTCAAAACATCTGACAGTATACCCTGCAACAAACAACTTCCCAATATTAAAGTCAAATTTAAAGGACAATACAATACAAAGTTAGAAGGAAATTTAGGTTTAGAGCAAACAACCTTGCTAGACTTCTCAACTGCAAGTCCCATTGCAGATGTAACAGCACCAATAGTAAAGAGAGTTGCCATTATCAAATTTTTGTTGCTGTCATATAGGCGCCCTCTAAGAGCACCAAATAACTCCACTGAAAGTCAATATCAAAACAAAAATCAAAGGGAATGGCAACACAACAACCAATAGATTGAAGTAAAAGAACAATGCCAATGAGTTTAGAGTTTGATACCAATTAGAGCTATAAACAACCCCAAAACAAGAAACAACCAGGAACAAAATAGTAGAACATCCAGAAACAGGGTTGTTAATCCTGGAAATCTATGTTAATCCAGAAACAGGGTTGTTAATCCTAGAGCGAGGGGCCTATAGAGGAGTTTTAAGGTTAAGAGTGAGCGTGGTGGTGTTAACAAGCTTCTAGAGGAAGGAGTGAGGCCCCCATAGGAGTTTATGCTACTAAGGTCGAATTTAGCAATTGTTTTTTTAGTTGCTTATTTGCTTTTCTAGAACCTTAAAAAGCTGATGCGGCTGGTAATTACAAAAAAATATTCTTTTTTGTTAGTAGAAATGTTAGATTTTTTACCTTTTTTTAGTTACTTTTTTAAGTTCAAGACAGACTTTTTTTGTCTTTTGGTTTATTTAGCCAAAAAGTAGCTTTTTTTAGCCCATGCCAAACATCCCCTAAGAGTCTAACACAAGTGGTAGATAGAAGCAGTAACAGAAACTTCCAGAACATACTTAAAATGCTAAGCAACTAACTAAAACAGTTTTAGGTTATAAGCTTCTTAAGGGTTGGTTTGGGAAATGACTTTTTTTAGAGTCTTTTTGGCTAAGATATGAGATAAAAAAATTTAAGTGTTTGGGAATGACTTTTTGGCTTTTTATAGAAAAAACATGCAAAAAGAAAAGAGAATACGAAAGAATCTTTTGACTTTTTGGCTTTTTTAGTGGCTTTTTAGCTAAATTAGCCTACTGCCAAACGAAGCCTAAAATTAATTATGCATTTCTTGGTCAGTGACTTGGTAGAAAAAACCAGGAGGAGAACATCACATCATGTTGCAAAACTACGTGCCATACTTCATTTCATAAAAGTGCTGCTACAACAGTTTGGGATCAAATCATCTTATGATATAGCAATGGTTTTTAACTGCAAGAAGAATGGATTTTAATATTGTTTGGGAGGGATTTACATATGGTTCCTAGCACACCCGTTGTAGTGTAGAGGAGGCTCATGCTACTAAGAATCTCCCTTTGTTAGACAAGCAATTTACTCTTTCACTGGTAAAATGCATGCCCTTATTTAGTGACAAATAACAAATATTGGCACATGTATCGCTAAAAAAATCCAGATTTCAACATTTTTCTACATACAAATATATTTTATGTTGCCTACCAATTTGATGAAGAATAGACATCTTAGCCAAGTTGTCTTCAAGTATGCTTGTATCTCTGGAAACACTAGAACTGGATGGAAACCTCACTAAGTACTTTCACTTTAGCAGGAAGTAAATACCCCATCTAGCTAAAGTTCCTTGCTTATAAGCTAGGCCCAAAGTATGCAAGATTACCAAAGAATAAATATAGCCAAAAAAACACAAGTACATGCAATCATTAAATGACAAAAAAAAAAAAAAAATACTAGACTAAAGAGGTGAACCTTTTCAATAAGATCCAGGACATCTTGATTGTCAACAAATTCTATATAGCTCCAGTTGATCTCCTCTTTTGTGTACTCTTCTTGCTCCATCTTGAACACATGCTGAATGATACAACAATGCTTTGAGTGGAAGTCAAGGATGTGAATTACAAGATGTTATTAAATATGATGAGCATTATATATACCTGGTTGAAATGTTGCTGCAGCTTCTCATTTGTGAAATTAATACAAAAATCAGTATCAACTAAAATTGAAACATCCCTGCTAACTGTATATCATTCAAGTTAGGATCTTGTCCAATTGAAACATTAATTGTATCAACTAACCTGTATATAACAAAAATCAGTCAGCTTTATCATCACACGCTTAGTTAAAACAAAATCCAGAGACATAATCATGAAAGTGAAAACAATGATGCAAACTCCCATATCTTACCAGTCAAACAAACTGTAATATATTGTCTTAGCTAAACCATCCCTGCTAACAAACGGTAATATATAGTCACTAGGGGGCACAAAGCTCATGCATATACCAAAAGAAACCATATCCACCAAGAACATTCCATTTGACCAAAATTTGGTAGATAGGAAAGAAAGCAATATTTATGAACAAAGTTCCATTTCTCACAACTCAATGGGACAAAGATGTTAGAACTATGCATTGACAGTGACACATTGTAAAGCAGAAAGAGATGAAGAACTAAAACAACAAACAAATGAGCTGATTATAGCTGATGAGAATAATAAGGATAAGATTAGGCAACATAAGAGAAAGCAAGAGTACCTCAACTGCATATGTGCCTCGATGGTTCAAATCAGCATCGGACATATCCTTTACTCCTAACAAGCTACCAATTCCATCGTTACCAAACAGTTGTTCTTTATCATTAAGAGCTACACCAAATATTTCTTCATAGTTCTCAATATTCAAGTCAACTTCATTCATATTGAAGTCCTCATAGAATTTATCATCTTATTCTAAATCAGGTGCTTTTGTTCCAGGACAGCACGTCTGCATATTAATTAGTAGAGGTCAGATTTTTACTCAAGCAACAAAGTAAACAGGTAACCTTAAACATATTCATAATACTATAAAGTTGATCAGTTTTGTATTTTGGCAATCTTATTTGATCTAACAAATTATCACTGCATGCATTTTATTTTAATCTTCTTTACAAGCATGGCTAGGATTGAAAACGTGTCATATAACATTCCAAGAAGAAAGGCCCAAAGCTCAAAGCCAACGAAGACCTCAGAAAATTCTACTAGATTCTTTGAGATTTAATTTCATATCACATAAATGGAGTAACATTATGTCATATAATTTTCACTTACATCTTATGGAACAATCATGGAATACTAAAATGAAGACCTTAGAAACTAGAAGTTAGGTAGCCAAGCAACAGGTAGCAACATGTCAGGATACCTTAGCTCCAAGAAACCTCATTTATCAAACAAATGTGATAAAATTTATCATCCACCAAATTCCACCAACCCATAAAAGTTCCAAATCATATTCTATGTCACCAAACTCGACAAGAAAAAAAATAAAAAATGAAAAATAAAAAGGAGACGGCATTCTCACTTCCCTTCTTTTTTCTTTTTTCTTTTTGAAGTGTGGATAGAACATATAATGTTCAAAAACTAGCTAAAAACTTTTAGCTGCAGCAAATCAAGTAGAAATTCTTATTTATGTTATAATGCCATCTAACCACATGATTTTTTGCATTTTTCCATAGCAACATTCCAATATTTAAAACAAATATACATATAGGAATAGAAAAAAGAGAGAAGAAATACATATAGGGGGTCTCTCATCATTTATATTGCTAATATATTCAAATCATTAGTTTAGTTTTTCCAAGAGAAAGAAGTACAATATGATGATTTCATGCTATAATTGAGAATACCTATTCACACACACACCCCATTGGGAATTGATGAAAAGGTAAAGCCGTACCTAAGAGCTCACTTCCTGTGTAGCTTTATCATGGACCTTAGAATACGATTGGCCATATTCAGCAGACCTTAGAATACAAGTCCTAGAAAAGAACCAAATTCACTTCAACAATTACATATGCACTTCATTTTCACATTCAAGTGAAAGGAGACTAAAACAATGTTTACAAGACCTTTTTACCTAACATAACAGAACCAGACTCCACTAACTTCCTTCTGTCTATTTTTTCTACTAGAGCTTTGAGTTCTTTGCTTTTCTTCAGTTTACACAACACACCATATCTTATTTTTTGACCTTTTTTTTTTCCCTCTTACCCACATGTAGAACTTATACACATTACAAAAACTTGAAATTTTTTCTCCTGGTCTTCAATTATAACATTACTTCCTAAAATAATCTTTCTAGAAATAAGAAAAACAACAATCAATGTAATTTGAGTATTTCAACACAAAACATGGAGTTTTAACCAAGCAATTTAACACCAGAAGGCACTACATATATACTTACATATATAAAAAAGCATTTAAAAGACTTGCTTAGGCACTAAAAGGTCAGAATTCTTCACTAAAATTTCTAAGTTTACAAGGTTTTCACTTATTCCTTTAGAGCATAGCATAAAAGCCACAAAAATCACAATTTTTTGCTACCTTTTTCTACTGCATAGAAGAACTACCATTTCAATTTTTTTTAGTTTGCTAGCTTACAGGCACACACAACCCTCTTTTCTCATGTTTTCTACAAAGAGGTCCCTACATATATTAAAATTACCCACTACATGACATACATACACTGACAATTTCTAAACAAAAGATTATTATAAAAAATTAATAATAGTAATTAGTTGTGGCTCATGTAGTTATTGGTTAGATTATTATAAAATTATCTCATTTCCTATACATCAATAGTGAGCGAGTGATACAAAAGGTTATCAAAATAGAGAAATTCTATAGCTCACATCTTTAGTATTCTTTTATTACCAGAAATGAAAAATAACTTGATATGTAGATTGGAATTTTAAATTGAAAAAACAAGGCAATGGGATGATAAATTCTAATTCTATTTACATGGGAAACAAATTCAAAGATCCAAAGAATAATAAATAAATATAGAATAAGAAGTCAAACAATTAATAAATAAATACAGAATAAGAAGTCAAACAATCCTAAACTTTACAATGGTTTACAATATGAAAGATAGAGCTGCGTGAAGTTTTAGTTTGGAAAGCCACTGAACTGACATTCTTGTAAAATCTCATATAGAAGATGGGGACAAGAGTTGGGGACAGAAAATCCCAATAGAAAGGATGGCATTCTAAAAAGCTCACCTAAATGTGTCTCATTATTTTATTATTAACATGAATGGATACAGAGAGAAGTAAATCAAACTTTAGCAGCAAAGTTTACCTTGCAGAAGAAACGGCGACAACACTAGTTTGGCCTGTTGAGTGTGCAAAAGATGCTAGGGTTTCAACTTGCATTTCAATTGAATGTTTACTGCAAAACTTATAACTTGAACTCAAAACCTGCAAACCTAAGGATGCACAGACAAATCATAAATGATCCAAAATTATAGATGGAATATGAGAAAGCTAGATAAGTATTTATAGGGAGATTCAAAGACCAAGAGAGATAGAGAGAAACAAACTGAAGGAGATTGAAGCAACCAAATATCAATATTGAAAATCACATTTTCCATTTTTCCCTACAATTTCTGAGCAAGCAAACAAATTAATAGAGAGATTGAAGCAACCAGATATCAAAAAAGAGCCAACACATCCCCTGAGTTTTCTAGAAATTAATCCAATATATCATCACCAACTTCCACTCAATCACATATAATATGTACCAAATCACTCCAAAATCTATACACATAGGTATTTGAAATACATATAAATAAGAGAATAATTGAATTAAATCAAAGTGATTCAATCAAATATCAAGAGTTCAAACACATTCAAATTGAATATTGCAAGGGTCATTTATCGATCCAAACCCTAGGAGTAGATTCAAATCGCAAACTAAGAAAAAATGGAGTAAGATAGAAATAGAGAGAAGAATTTCCAAGAGAAAGTACCTTGAACTCGATCGAAACCCTAGGTGTAGATTGAAACCTGAAAACAAGAAGAAATAGAGAAAGAAACTTGACAGAAAGAGCGCGTACCTTCAATGATCAAGTTCGAAACAGAGAGAGCACGAGATTGAGAAGAACATAAAGGGGGGGAGAGAGAGAGAGAGAGAGAGAGAGAGAGAATGAGATTGAGATTGAGAGATTCATACCAGTGCAAACTGAGAGAAAGAGAGAGAGAGAGAGAGAGAGAGAGAGAGACAGAGCGAGAATGCGTGCAAGAGAGAGAACAATTAGTGTTTGTGAAGGGCAGGGCAAATAAAAGGAAAATGGGAAAATAAATAAAAGGAAATAACGAATAAATTTGGTTATTTGCGCGTAAGGAAAAATTGAAAAATATATATATATATATTTCCCCCCTCCATCTTTCAAATTTTTCCCCAAACTTTTGGCGACCAAACTCTCAAATTAGTCGCAATATTAGTCGCTAAAAGTAATAATTTGGCAACTACTTTTTTTTGGTTGCTGAAAATAAATATTTTGCGACCAAATTTTTGGTCGCCAAAAAATATGGGACCTTCCGCGACCAAATTTGTAGTTGGTTGGCAAAAGTATACCACTTTCTGCGACCAACATATTTTTTGGTCGCCAAAATATAACCTTTTGCGACCAATAATATTTGGTCGCCAAAAATAATGATCATTCGCGACTAATTAATATTTGGTCGCCAAATGTCATTTTTTTGCGACCAAAATTTTTTTGGTCGGCAAAAGTGGTCGGCAATTATGTAAATTCTTGTAGTGGTTTTTGGTCTTGTTTGTGCATTTATTAACTTGTACACCTTGGTTCTTTGGCCATCATGTAATGAAAGTTCTTGATTGGTGGTTTTCGAACCAAGCGTATCATTCCTTTGAGATGTTTTGATGATAAGGAAGGATACGCAGTACAAACAACCTATGAGAATACCCTCTCCTTACTCTATTTGTCCTCTCTTGCAGCAAGGAAAGACTTGGCATCAGTGGTCAACAACCCCTTAGCAGTGGCCGGCAGGCCACCTCTAATGGCCGGCAACTCCTCACTTCTGGCCTGCCAGCCACTAGTGAATTTTGAGTGGAATGCTCGTGAAGAATTGCAGAGTTGATCTGGAAAAGGAAAGCCAGTGCAAGGGTTGTGCAACAGAGGCTTTTGGGAGCAAACTGTGGACGTTCTTCGGGTGGAAACCGAGCATGCATGGGCCTCCCTCACTTCCTGGGACTAGTTAATTAGTTTAATTAGTAATTGGTCATTTATTTGTTGTAATTAATTAGTTGTAGCTAATTAGTTTGTTTTGTACTGATTTAATTAGTTTAGATTGATTACTTAAATTGTTGTAAATATTTAATTAGCTTAGCCTAGTTAAATTGTTTAATTGTTGCACTTAATTAATTAGCTTAGATAGCTAGTTTATTTATTCAAGT